ATCACACAACTTTATCCTGGAAGACAAAAAAAAAAAAAAAAAGATTAATTAGGATAATTCTGTCTAGAAAATTAATCAATCTGTCCTACTGAATTTAAAAATATAGTTAGATTTGTCCAACATTTTAAAGTTTACGAGATGCGTGGCTTAGCTCAGGTTTGTTTGCAGAACAATTATTCCTTTATAGTGTTAATCTTTAGCACACGCTGTATCATGAGAGCAAATCAGAAGACAAAATTACAGACTGAGTCAATAAAGAATAACCACTCTAGTCACCCCAGAGCAGTAAATCCTGCCAATGCTGAAGTCCTTAGAACTGCGGGCAGCCCCGGTAATGTTGCTCAATGTCCTCTCCTGAAAAGACCTTGCGAGCAAGTAGGAACTCGGTTCTGGAAGGGGAAAAGTGTGCAGCTGAGTATTACTGGTTACTTTAAAGCACCCAGGAGTGGAGATGACTATGAGCTTTCTTCATGGAGGCCTCTATATTCTTTTGATGTAACAAGATGGAAATATTCTCTCTCCAAAAGCTAATGACAAAAAGGATCATTAAATGGTTAATATTTCCTTCCTTCTTATAAGTGATTTAAAAAGGGGGGAGGACAGGAAACAAGGCAAAAGACAATTTGGCTTTTAATCTGTTGACTTTTGTAGGCTTCTATAAGGGAAACATCCTGTGTCTTTGTAAGTATATATAATTCTTGACCCTATAGTCTGGATAATGGACCTTTGCTATTGCTGTTTTAAACAGAATGCCCTAGGCCTTCTCTGTTTTTTCATCTGTATTTTCTTTCTTTCATTAGCTAGTGGCTTGAATTTACAATCACCTATATTAATAGATTATTCCTATTGAGGTCAGCCTATATGGAACCAGTTTCTAGGGCAAAATTTTATCTATTAATTAACATTACACTGAAGCTAGAACAAAAGAAATGGACTTGGGGTATTCTCATGACAGTTAACCTTAAAACCTTAAATGGAAGAGCAAGTTTAGAGATTTATGTGATCAGATGGCTTTAAATATAAATACTGGACCACAGCTGACATAAAATAGAAGCCAGTTTTACTGACAAACCAACCTGCCTCCTCCCCTACCTTGCTATTTTCAACAGCATTTCTCATTTAAAAGGGCTCTCATCCCATGATCAGGGTGAGAGACTTCATGTGGAAGCTTCACTGGCTTTTTGGTGATTTAAATGACATGATTATATCAAAGGGACTTCCATTGCTCTGCCTTGCATTGAAATAAAAAACCCTTGATAGGCTACTGTAAGCACCTTGAGTCAGAACCTGCATGGTTGTAAGTAGAGGTAAATCCTCAGGCATTTATCCCAGTCCAAAGCAGGAATTTATGCTTATTAGTGCAATCAATGTAAAATCGCACCATGACTCTGGGTACAGATTCTACTGTGTGATGTACAGTTGCTGACTTGCTAAGAGATTTCATATTCCAACTGATCAAGCTGAATATTCCAGGTGTTCTCCACCAGTAGTTTCCCTGTCGTCATTCCAAAAGTGTTTTCTTGCAGGATTCCTGGCCTTTTCCTTTAGCTCAGAGTCTACTCTGTCACTGCTAGTTGCAATGAAGCAAGTGACAGTATATCTGCATTTGCACTTGGCTATCAATTAGGACAAAGAGAGCAACTCACACCTCGAATCTTCCTGTTGCAGAATTTTCAGGAATTTTAGTAATACATGAACCTGTCAATCCAATCCCTGTACTTCTGAAAGCTAGAACGTTAGGTAGGCATCAGTCTTTGCTTTTTTGCCAAACCAGGTTAGAAACAGCTCTTCAGCTAAGTTTTATAGTGAAATGGCTGATGCCTGAAAACACTAAGGGGGAATATAGCAGTTGGCACTAAAAACTCCCAGCACTGTCTGACTATCTTATGCTTTCCAGACTGATTGTTATTCCCTAAAAATCTCTTTATGTTCGTAATTGTGGGATCAAACTGCCTCTGCATTTCAAATCCTGAATGGAAAACAGGATATTCCACTATGTCAATTCTAATGACTTCTAATGACTCTTCCTCATAGGTTAAGATGAAGCCTGATTCCTTGGTGATAAAGATGAGGAAGTTGACCACATTTGAAACTGTCATTCTCTTTGACTCTCCTTGAGTTAGAGTTCTTATGATGCATTACAGATACATTCAGGAAAATCTACTCACACGTTGTTATACTGCTATAAGTTGATTCGTGTCACCTTGTAATAAATACAAACATCCTAGAAAAGGAGAAGACAGTTAAACTTTGAAATTCTGTTCTTTTAAAACCTTGAGGAACCCTCAGTCCTCTCTTTCACCCAGGCAAACGTGTGGTGTCCCAGGACACATAATGATAATCCTGCCGTAATGAGTCTATAAAGAAAGGCAGATCAGGGACCAGATCAGTCATTAAAAAAAAAAAAAAGATAAGGGAGTGGATTAAATACATCAGGGGAGAACTGGAGAAAAAGCCAAAAGCCAGGCCAAACAGTAGCAAAGACAAGAATGGAAAACGCAGACTCAGAGATGACTAACGTGTTTGCAGATTGCATATTCAATAACTGATATGGCACTCCTTACTCATCCAAAACCTAGGCTGTCTAATAGAAAACTGCAGGTTGCTTCTGTTAAAGATGAAAAGTTCCCTGTCAAGCAGTACCTACAGCAAATACACAGGTGTATTACATGAATTCTCAGGTCAAGAACACAATGCACTCTGGGGTCTGCAAAAACTTGAATGAAACATTTTTTCCCATTAGATTCTCCATGTCAGAAACTTGACCCATATTGACATTCTGCACACCTTCCTACAGATCACCTCAGCCTTTTTTAAGAACGTCAGACATGCCAAAAACATGAACAATGAATTCATAAATTCATAATGAGGACTTGGAAAGTATCACTACATAGAGAAAACAAGGGCAGGCAGACTACCCAAGCTAGTGGAAGATAATTAGTTTCCCATCCAAAATTGCACTGGCAAAAAGACTGCAAATCTGTGATATTGGACAAACAATATGATCTTGCTTATATTTGATTGGTACCCTTCATCAAAAATATGCTAAAATCAAAAGCAAAACAAGTCTGAACCTTGCATTAGTGGTTAGTGGTTAACCACTCAACTTGACACCAAACTTCATCTGGACATTGCACTCCTGCCATCCTCCTATTTGTTTCTGGATTCTTCCTTACCCTCTGTTCTTCTCTTTTGAAGCACAGTAATTATAGCTTTTATAATGGCTTGACCTGAAACACTTCTATGCCATTCTCAGATGAAAGCATAGCTACAAGATACAATAGACAAAAGGCAACCTTTAACATTTATCTTTACACAGAAAAAATAGTAGCTAAATCATCCTTTCCTTACTTTTTCCTAGTAAAACCAAATTATTTCTTTTAAAATAACTTTTATTTTGTTATAAAAGTATTTCTTCAATGTATCTGCAAATAATACTGAAGGGCAACTTGGGTACCTTCCTCTACTTCTCCCACATTAGCAAGGTCTAAAACATGCACCTTAACCATTCACTGTCTTCCACTCACACCTACTCTATTAAACTGAATTTGGGCTTTGTTTGCTTTCGAAAAGCCTTGTTCTTCCGCTGTGTCTCCTCAGAAACAGTATTAAGTTGCTTTGAAAAAAATCTGTTGATATCCATGCCAACAAACCGGCATTAGTTAAAATTGGACCCTTCGGTTTTGAGATCTATGGTTATTTCAGTAAAAAGGACTTCTTTCTGCAGTATTAGCCTAAAGCTAATACTCCAGAATTTTCACCAAAAAAAAAAAATCTAATTGTTTCTATAGAAAACCATATTCACAGTAATCACTTGCAAAAAGCACTAAATTCATTAAATAAATTACTTCTGCTGAAAGTAAAACTGTTTATGGAAATACTTAGGTTTTAACCCTTTTCTCTTCTCTGCATCCATAAAAATGTCTCCCATCTGCCACCTTATACATGGTCACATTATATCCAGTGAATAAATATCATAGATACCTGAAAAAAATAGAGAGAATCAAATGAATTATTCACATTGAGAAACCCTTTTTGGCCAGCACTTTCCTTTAGAAAGAACTGGCAGGTTATCAGAAAATGACAGTTGCTGACCTCGCTATCTAGTTCCATGCTGATAAGGCATTATCTTCCAACTCTACCTCACGAGTGTCAGAGACAGAAAATCAATTACATTTGGAAAGCACTGTATGTGGACTCGTAGAATTACACACGTTGTCAGTACGATACTAATACATATTATCACACCTAGAGATTCCACTGAGAAATTTAAGGCAAATAAAAGAAACTTTAAACATTTTATTGATGAACAGTAGAAAATGCTGGATATGATACCAGCTTGTACATGTGTAAAGAACTTTTGCATGTGATTTCAACATAGCAGTTGCTGCTCTGAAAAGAGCTCAGAAATACAGTGTCAGTGTCACGACATCACTCTAAGAAACATTAGATGATGTGCAGCAGTGTGGTGGGAACAGCAGCTGACAGGAGCCCCGGGAAACCAAACAGTGCCCAGGATAACATTCCCAGGGGCTATTTTGTGATGAGCCGCCTGTTGCCTTGACTACACTGCCAGCAGTAGCTTAAAGCTAGTTTGGGTGTATCTATATGAGCTGCACAAAATGGTAACTTCTGTGCAGCCTGGAAAGGAGAGGACTTGCATTATATGGTAAGCACTGCAGATGGCCCTTTAACATCTATCTTTGCCAGAATGACTTTTATCACCAGGGAGCACACAATGTCCTTTGACTTGTGTAATAAAGAGGCTCAATAAACTTTTGTTCCATATCCTGGTTGGCACATCCTGTAGTATTTCCTTCAAATGCTATTAGTCTGTATCCCTATATCTATATCACAAGTAACTGTTATCAGAGCCCATGAATGCAGTTGTTTGTATTCTCTACTAGCTATCTACAGTATCTGTGCTTTTCTGTACAGTAGACAGTCATATAAAAAAGGAGATATAGATATAGATATATATTTATGTCATTATTTTTGGTTGCAAATGGTCTTGGAGATAAAAGAAGTCACAGATCCGTAGAGGATTTGAAATGGTGCTCCACAGAAGAGTGCTTTCCATCTTCCAGAACTTTGGAAATGCGCTGAAAAAAGAAAAAAAAAAAAGGGCCATAGGTTAGCATGACTACTGTATTGGATTCACTAACATGTATATTAATTACTAGCTTGTGTCCTTAATCTGTGACAAGAGAAAAAAAGCATGGACCAAAACCTGGATATTTGATAGAGAAATTTGCTGGATAATTTCTTTATCCTGCAAAACTATGAACCTGCATTTAAATCTGTTCCCATGATTCTGCTCATGTGGAATCACTATAGAAAAATGTTTTAAACTTTATTCAGAGCTTTTTCAAAATTGTAAGAAAGGACATTTTGTCCTTACATATGCTACAGTAGGTTTAACTATGATGAGGTCATGCTAAAAAGCTGTTCCTCCCGGGTCTTAAAAGAACAGATATGTGATAAGTTCAGTACAAGTGAAACCCTACAGACCATGTGAGGATATCTGAATGCAAAATTTCCTAATTGCTGTATTCTCCTGGAAAGTAACTATCCAAGTTTTTTGAAAGACTGCAGAAATAAATGAATAAATGAAATAAAATGAATAAAAATGAAACCTCCCTTCCCCTTCTTCTCCCTAAGAAATGAATAGGAAAAGTTTACAAAATTCCTGCAAAACATGACAGATGTCACAAAATCCTTATGTCCAGTGCATCTCAGGAGCTACCGACATCTGCATTAAATGTAATCCTTGGCACCAAGTAATTTTCTTATATATATATTTTTTTGCTTTTAGATACTGTGTTAAATTCAGTATTTTTTTAATTTCCACAGAAGTCACCAAAAGGTTTACTGTATTAAAGGAAGACAAACTGTGCTAAGCAACATTGCTGACTACCACGAGCCAGCTTCTACTTGGAAGCACATCCGGGAGCAGAAGCCGACTCGCACGGTGCTTGCTTTGCTGTGCTCCTCTCACTGTGATGCTAGGGCCAACCACCCAATACAATTAAATCAAACAAATAATTACTTTCCTCTTTTGCTAATAAGCGTTATGTAAATCAAATTGATTGGTTGGTCAAATGAGACCTCTCGTGGTATGGATACAGAACTGCACATCTGAGCCTTCCTACACTGAACATACTAAGACGCACATCTTTAAAACAAAAAGCACAGCAAGAGACAAATACATAACCCTTTCGAGCTCCCACTCCTCATGACAGAAAGAAAAGTTTGACTTATGGGGCTTGTGGCATTTTAAAACCACGTAATTTTATTTTATAGTCCAGAATTTTTACAGAGGCAATGCAGTCTTTTTCCCATACAGTTAAACACACAAAACTAACCATTGTCTTAAATAGCTGGTTCACTTTCTTTTTTTTGAAGTTTTTCTTGTCACCATCTGAGGTGGAAGGAAACACGGGCTGACTGAGCCTGTGTGATGCAATCACTTCATCAGGCACCGCCGGGCTCACTGACATGGTTAATCCTGGGAAGAGAAACAGATTGAGTGCACAAAGCAAAACTGAGGAAGGACAGTGAAGGAAGCGCGTGGGAAAGCAGCGTTCAAAATAATGAACTACTGCAACTACCAGAGAGAAATGAGAGTTCATAACCTAAACATATTCTCAGAATACAAATATAAGAACCCCCATGATAGCAGTAAACTTAATTACACTGAAAGTGAATAGTGTGAAAAATATGAATCAAACTGAACAAAGGAAAAATAGATAAAGATACACATTGGTCTGGTGGGAAACCACTGTTCTGTTGTGCCAAATGCCTGTTACAGGCATTTGGATACCTAGGGTCAGTGACGGGGATAGATGAAGTGCAGGCTAAGAAGTGGGACATTCTAGGAGGAGAAAGAGGAGGAGGAGAGGGAAAAGGATAACGAAATAGATAATGTTTTCTGTGTATATCCTGGCCTAGAAATAAAGTTCAGCCTCCGTTACACTTCTAGGAATACTTTTACCCCTGGCACGTACCAGGCCGCACAACATGATCAAGCAGTAACCACAGTCTGTAGTAGCAACCTTACATGCCTGCACTAAAACTGTAACCTGTGTACAAGAGGTGGAAGGACACAGCCAGATGGCCACGTGCTGCTGCCTGCAGCAAACCCATTATCCAAGACGTGCAGCACCTTCATCCTCCTACCTGCGATAGTGGGCATAGAACGACTGACGGAGCTCATCTGCTTGAGGACACATGTTTTCTGAGGGGCTGCTACGTGCTCCGAGAGGTTGGTGTCACTCATGAACTCGTACTTCCGTGACAACTGTTCAATTAACATAGGTAAACAGACTAGTTCAGAGGCTTTCCATGCCCCGCTCAAAATTCCCTGGCTGGAGAAATTAAATTTTGTCCTTGATACCCAAACAGCCAACAGTCACACCATTCTGGGAACTGCTAGCTCAGGTGAAATGCAAACAGGCTCAGGCTTTGGAAAACCTCGTCATCTTCTGAAACCCCGTTAACCATTGTGGAGAAATACAAATTAGGCAATTTGCATCATTAAGGATCTGTTAAGGAGTCTGTACTCCCTGGTTTTATGAGCAGGAAGAACTGGCCCAGGCTGAGGTCATGCCTCCAGCTAAAGGTAATGAGCTATTAAAAACAGAGTGTACATTAACCTAATGCGGAACTTAAACCTACAGTACAAACTGAGATACACACATTTTACAAATGATTCAGTTTTTTGTACCTGAGAGACATTAATTAATATTATCCCTCTGTTGAAGAGGGAGATAAACATTGTACTTGAAGGTTTGTACTCACAGATCAAAGTCTTTCTTTTCTTTATAAAGGTCTGACTACAAGAGAATGAACTGCAGCTTTCTGGGACTTTACAAGTAGATGTAAAAATTTTAATTCGCCCCTTATTTCTAACCTCATCCATTAATATAATAAAGTAATTTTATTTTGTCTGGCTGTACTCCTTACTGATATTTAGTTTACTGAGCAGCACTGCATGAAACAAGAATATAATAATGCAAATAGCACCTGTTTCCAATCCAAATGCAAGTGAAGCTACCACATACAAAGCTCAAAATATATATATTATCACCTGATGCTATTTTAAACTACTCTTTCATTGTTTCTTCTAGGAAACCTTCATACCTGAAGGTTTATGCAAATTTGATAGGAGACGGTAGCAGCAAATTCGAGCTTGCAAGCTAGAAGCATCTCTGTTTAGCCCTGTGAAAGACAGTTACTGATTGTCACAATTTTGTGCTCAGGTAGTCTAACATGACTTTGTCCAAAGTCTTAGCTTTGCATGCTTCCCAGGGGCTGCTAAACAGAGATGCTTTGTAGAGAGATCCAAACATCTCCTGAAGCTCAGGGCAAGCAACTGGCAACAGAAAACAGCACCTTGCCAATCCTGGGTTATGCTCTAACCACAAGCTAAATCAGCAATGGAAAAACTTCTGGTAATCAAATTGGTTTCAGAAACAATAAACGGTGTTTCTCTCTCTCTCTCCCTCTACTTCAGCAATCTGTTACTGTTTGACATTAATATTTAGATGGGGCTTGTCTATCTAGACAAAACAATTTCAGATTTTCATTAGTGAATTCTCTTTTTATAACTAGAACTGCCTTCTAAAGATTAAAGTATAAAAAATGCACTAAGTTATATAAGTCAATCCGCTGATCTATGAGTAGGATAAAGCCACTCAGATTATCCGTGGAACAAGAGAGTCCAGAGCTTCAGAGCACCAATCTGGCACCATTTCAGGAATACTGCATTCAATCCTGCAATTTCCAGCTGCCTGTCCCACAGCAAAATGAACGAACTCATCACATTTGAAACAGTCCTGGCTGTGAAGAGATACCATGAAGTGTCAGTGCAGTAAATTAATTACTTCTCAACAGGAAAGCCTGTTAAGACCTCCCAATGTAGTATTCCATTTTTAGCCAACCAAGATACAGAATTATGCAACTTCACAGCTTCAGTTCTGATTTTTTCCCCCACTGATTTGTCTCTTCCTCAGTATCTTGCAAATTTCCATTCATGGCAGGGCAGATGGCCTCTGTATCCTGCACATTTCGTTTTATGACAAAGCAACAAGTTTTCCACTACACCAAATTTCTGTGCAATTTGTTTTTCTTTTTCTAAGTAAGAGAGTAAATATACTAATGTTTTAGAAATCCAGAAATACTGCTGTAAGTCAGTAACATACATTTTTCATGTCGGAGATGGAAATATCGGGTGCCGTTTTCTCATCAGCAAACACCACGCTGCTTCTTTTTGTTCTTTTTTTGGACCTTCTCATTTTTACCTCAGGGTGAGGGTTACTTGGCAAAGTATTCTCCTCTGATTCTGATTTTACTGGCTTTGATAGCACTGCTTCCAGTTCAAAGCTGCAAGGACAAAAGAAAAATGATAAAAATTGCTAAACGATACTTTAAAAGTCATGGGTATTCTGATGTCATTTCCCTGGGAAATAAAAAGGGAGGTCATCCTTTCCTTAGGCCTTTTTTTATGCAGCCTTGCATACTGAACTTGCAAAAAGTATATGATGTCCTTCAGCTGGTAACTAGATACTAAAAAGAGGCCTTCAGGAGGTATTATAATATCTTCAACTGTTACAAAAAAATGTATATTAATCTGAAGTGCAAATCGAATCCTTTTTAAAGATTTGTGCATTAGCTCAAGGACATCTAAAGGAAAAAGGGTCAGAGCTCACATAGGAATTTTATGGGGAGCGGCGGTAGGGCTGAAAGCAAAACAAGCAGAAAGATGCTAATTCATTTTAAAGCTGCATTCACTCATAAACGAATTTGCAAAAAGCAAACCCCTGCAGTTTATAAACAGTATTTCAATAATAAAATATTTGCTCCCAGAAAATTGGATGTCTCTGTCTTCTTTTCATAAGAGGATTTCTTGACTATATCTTGCCTATCTAGCATAGAACATTGCAGTTTTAGCCCTGAAAAAAATGTTAGCTTCAATTAAAAAGACTTGTGGCATAGTCTAAACAAACTGCTAGTTGTCTTGATCCAAGAATTTTTAATCTTTTTGTTACTTCTGATAAAATAGGACAGAGTGAAAAAAATGTATTATCGTCACAGTTGTATTAACTTCATAACTGACCTTTCTGAAGGAATTTTGTTTGGAGTACTGCAGTCTGAATTCATGGAAGCCAGTGAAATAACTGACAACTGGCGATAGGATCTTAGCATTGATCTTGGCCGTCCTACTCTCTTGTCATCGAAATCTGGCTACAGGATGGAAAAGAGAAGCATGTTCCATGAACGAAGTCTGTGTGAAACTCATTTCATCTCTTCTCCGTAGATTCCGAGCTAGCACAGATGTTTCAACATATGGCATGAACGAAGTTACTCATCACTATTAATTACAGGGATTTTGTTTCTTCTGACTGGATACCCTCTTTCTCTAAGACCTCTCAAGCTGAATGATATAGTGAACCGATTTATTGCTAAATAAACTAAAGAAACCAAAATTAACTTTTTTTTTTTTTTTTTTGCTTTCTCTCAGAAAATAAAGAAACCACTGTTTGCTGATCCTGTTTGGTATAAACATGGGGCAGAAGATTATTGGGCAAATAGGTTTAGTCAGTCCTTGCTCCAAAACTATAACTACAAACTCTTCCTTCAACTCACAATCTTCTGCCATCTCTGTACATTAATATTGCCTTTTTCTTTATGTTTTCTGGTGGATGGATCAAATCCATTTTTTCCTAATAGCAGACAGTAAGAACAAGACTCCAAGAACAGCAGGAGGACAATTTAGGTCACAGTGTACCTGGACTGGACACAGCACTATGTGCTACAATATCATTCTACTTCTGCAATGGAAGAAGAAAAAGTGATTTTTCACTTCTAATCTCTTTTAGCAGGTAAATTGAATATCATAATGCAAATATTCAGCTTGATATTAATGCTTATTTACACTTTACAATCTGCTATTAAATTCAACGAACCAGTCTGTTTTGAGATTTCCTTGACACTTTCCTCTTCCTCTGGCCATTAAGGCAGGAGCAAGGATCACGTTTCTTAGCCAATTCTGCACCCCTTCTCTTTTGGAGGGCTGGATGTAGAATTATACTGTGCAGACAGCTGGGCTCTCCTCTTCATTCATGCAAGATTCTCCCTGGGTTGAGAATAACTGGCAGGAGCTCGACCCAGGGAAAATCATTGGTCTCATAAAGGAGGCAAGTTTTTGAGCATTTCCCAGAACAGACTGCTTGTCCTTTCACTAACATTTTGATCTCCAATAGAAGACTGGGAAACATTCATAGTTTCATTCTTTGCAAGTACTTTGCAGAGTTTACATGAAATGAGAATTTCTGCTCCTGTGAATGTATAGACTCTTCTGTTAAGACAAAGACATTACTTTTATTCTTTTATAAATAAAAAGAACTCATGGCAGCCAACAGAAAGAATACTGGATAAGGTAAATTGGAAGTAGTGACACTTTTTTCCTGCCCCTCTCATACACAATTTAAAATACTGCTATTCACCAACTTTAGTAATTTATGAGAAGCTTCTTGAGCCAAGATTTTTCATGCCATCACATATCTTTGAATACATCTGCATTTTGCAAGAACTTGTTCCACTGCTATGTAACATAAATTTTGCAACATTCAGAATGAGTATGAAAGATGCTACATCTCAAAGCTTGAATAAAAGGCCATCCTGAGCATGTCATCATAAAGTCTCAGACAGAAAAACTCATCAACATCGAAAGCAGCAGTGTAAAATAATTTCCAAAGCAACTGCTGTGCAATTCCAAAGAACAACTAACAACATCCCTCCTACCAGCTCCCACCAGCTGTCTGCAAGAGTTTGTGCTTAGAAGCTATTTCCCATATATTTCAGTTTCATTTCAGCTAATACAGAGAGGATTAAATACATAATGCTTTAGAGCACAGTTCAAAATATCTAGAGCACAGGAAGCTGTGGACATCAATTGCTGATTACATCTCTAAACAACTAAAAAGAATTACAAAGAGGAGAAACATAAGAATTTCTTTTTCCTTATTCTACCATGGAAATGAATTTCAATTTTAATAGAGAGAGTGAGATATTCCAAACCTTCCAGAACACTTGCTATATCAGAGACTTAATTAACTCTTTGGTGGTAAAACCTAGATTTCGCTACCTCCAGATGACAAGAAAACTCACAAGTAACAGAAGTTATGCTTTTGTTCAGAGAAGAACACTATTAAAAAAAATGTAGGAGAGAGAACATAAAGGAGAATGATACCAATTCTCTGGTTCCGTATTGTTTTTCCACTTTAACTTTTAAATGCTTGAAACACTCCTCCATACGGTCGTGGAAAGGACGAAGGTTATCAGAAACTCTTCTTTCATGAATTTTAATTCCAGCCCCGAGGAAAGGTATCTTGAATGGACCAAAGGGAAAAGAAAAAAAACAAAAAGGAACGAAAGAAAAGCAAGTGAGGATATTAAACTGCGTCTGACAACCCCTCTAACTCCATTTGGAGTATCTGCCAAGTCGACTGTAAAACTGTGCCCAGTGGATAGATTTGTCAGCTGGTCTCGTTACTCCACAGGAGCTTTTAATAGCAGAGAAGCATCTTACTACAAATTTGGGAAGGGCTCTTGAAAAGTGGGCTTGCTCAGGAACATTTTAGAGATGTGTAGGTGTCTCAAAGCAACTGTTTTGCCACTCCTATCTATCCTAATGTTAATTCCTTATGAGATTAAAACACCATTTGAGGGTTTTCAAAAAACTGCCACCTCCTCTAAAACACAGCTCTGGACTAATCCACCTGGTAATGAAGGTGCCTGCCATACCATACTGGAAAGAAGGTAGGGATGAAATAATATCCAACTGGGCTGCAAGCAAGTGGTTTCAAACTCTTAATTTTGCTTTAAAATGCAGGATTCAGTAACTGTGGAAGGATTAAATCAGTCTACTGGGGGCTTAAGGACATGACAATTTAGCTGCTGCAGCAGGTTAACAGATTATTACTGCCTGGTTACTGAATACCACCTCTTCTTTTCTCCGCTCTGTTATTCAGCTGTCTTCCTCTGTAATCCCCATCTGTCTAAGTAAAAAATCAACAAAATAATGCTTTAGTACAAAAATAAACAAGTCACCAGCAAAGACTGTTTGCACTGTGCTCCATTTTACCTCTGTGCTTTCCCTTTCCTTACAGCTCATCCTTCAGGCTGGGGAAAGTGGCATTACTAAAGAGGTAGCATTTCTGATCTAGTATATTTGGTAAAAGGTACACAGTCGTATTTCTAAATAACTGGAAAAACAGTGCAGGCACCCCCTCCCTTAAAGGAGAACACCTCATAAAAAAGGATTAGCAGAGGGTCAGTCTGTATCACTTCAAGCAACTCCTTCCACTCAAACCTCTCAAGAGCCCTTCTGTCAGAAGGAATGGTTTGCTTACCAGATTAAAAAAACACAATTAAAGAAATCATATGATGCAGAACATATTATAATAACAGTTATTTTCTGACCCCTACAAATCCTCTTGTATCCTTGCTTTTATGTTATCATCTTTGCTATTATATTAGCTGAATAATATTCAGTTAAAACTAATCATCTTCAAAGATGATGAATAAAACACTTTTATATGCTGCCTAAGTGTTAATGTGCATGGTTACACAGAGCAACTCTGTACTTCTCTCTCATACATAAAGATATTTTAGTACAATTCAATCTTTGAAGATGATCATTTATGAGATTTATGTGATACACTTTTAGCTACACTTTTGCAAGTAACTTTCTTTGACAGCGTTAACACAGCAAGAAGCAGATTTCTAAGAAGAATCTTCCCTTTCTGTCTCCTCCTCCCCTATTCTAAGAAGGGGATAGAAAAACAACACAGTCATCTAAATGACATTACATCGTCCTGCTAGAAAAAAACAGAAAAAGAGGAAAATCTAAGGACGCCTCAGAGAACTACTGCCAGTAAGTGTTACCTGCCAAGCTATTAGATCCTTGAGTCTGTTCAGCTTTTCTTGATCCTCTGGATGGTCTCGGATATATTCATCTGTAAAGAAAGCCTGAGACAGGCATAAAAATAAATCAGTCCTTCATGTCAACATGAAAAGAGGCCAGTGGTGACCACAATACTGGTCATTAAATGAAGAGATATTTGCATGTCCCTCTACCAGCTGCTCCTAGTGATAACGCATTGTTTTACGAACTGAGAACTGAACTTTTTATTTTTGTTAAAACACATTCTGTGTTTGTCCCACACTTCTGAGCCTGACCTCCTTACTGGAAAAGGATTTTTTTTTTTAAATTAGCACCGAGCAATAAAGTGCACACATATTTGTAGTACCACTGTTTATACTAATTACATTTCATTTAAGTAATAACCTGACATGAGCAAGCATGTTACAGAAGGAGTCAGATACTGAAGGCATACTGAAGGCATTTTTCTACCCAAAGATTTATTTTTTCCCTCACCTACGTAATTCAAATGTTGTTGTTTGTCCCTTACTGCCAAGTGGCTAAACAAATAGTTGGGACAAACATGGCAAAGGCCGCAGTGCCTCAGGCTGCGTGGTGCATGGTGGGTACCGCCTCCACCCACGGCACGCGCTCAGCGCAGCCGCAGAGCGCCCGCACACGGAGCCTCCCGCGCGGCGCCCACTGCACAGCGGCGGCAGAAATAACACAGCTCCAGCGCTGGCGGGTAACGTTCAGTTGCATCATAATCTTTAATAAATAAGATACAAAAAAGTTCTAATATTCCTTCCCGCGCACACACATTTTTTAATGAGGCTGCCTTGCAGACAAGCTTTCTACACTTCAGTTCCTCAAGCTATTCCAGTTCTGACATATTGATAGAACATTTTATATTTGCAATCTCCTTTTTGAAGAACAAAAATTGCTCTGAAGAGAGGCTGCATTTACAGGGAAAAGCTGGTAACAATATAAAAAAGATAACCTACATCAAAATCCTCCAGACCTGCTACAAGGAGAACTTAAATTGATTTACTTCAGACCAAACCTTTGATGCCTAAGAGCCTATGTCATTACAAAAGGTATACCTCATTTCCCATGTATATTAAAACTTTCATGACAGCAATTAACATTGAGCTTCAAGTACATTCCCAGTGTCTGCTTTGCTACTTTCTGCTGTCAAAGACTGTGTCAGATGCGACCTGGATGGGAGGGTCTTTTAATTGCTGGAGATGTGACTTTCATATCCCCGGCCTACTGGCCACTGCCACTTTGAACAAAGCATCATCACGAATAAGGACTAGAATTAATACCTCTGAAGATGATCTTCACAATTACTTCAAATCTCTTACCTTCTCATACTTAGCAAAGCCTCCCATAACAGCTGGATCAACAATTCCATTCAGAAGCATGGACAGTGGATTAATAGGAAGGTTTTCATCACTCTGGTACTGGTTAATCATCATCAAAATCTTTTCATTTGTTGTGGACATGGTCTCAATGGCATTCTCTAAAGGACTAATTGTAGTCTACAAACAAGCAAAATATGAGAAAATGTCATAGAATCTACTTTATCTAACATCTCCCAAACTTTAATTTGTCCAGGTAAGTATATACAATTGAAGACTTTATTTTCTTCATAGTTTCTATAAACTGTCTTTTAGCTCTTCATTCCAGGAGTCTACCATACAAGGAAACAATCCATGGATTACCTAGCAACTATTTGCTCTAACATGTGCATGACAGATGAGCATGATCATCTGCTCTTGCTTCTACCTTTTTTCAAGCTGTAGATACTAGTGTATTTCAATACCGAGAGGAAAACAGAGAACTAATTCTCTTTATTTCAGTGCCCTGATGCTGCATGAGTACACAGCAGAGATGACCTAGCCAGGTGTGTAGAATGATGACTCCTACACACTGTCAGGTTCAGAAATTGAGACACAGTGCTACAAGTCAGGCATTAAAAACTCCTCCTTTCTTCCTATGAAGCAGAGCTAACTCATCAGTGAATCGGTGATCCAGCATTAGCAATTCATGGGATGGGTGGTTTTTTTCTCTTTTGGAAGGAGCCTATTCACTAGTGTATGTTTTTCCATAAATTCTTCTGCACTGATTCTCTATACTAGAGTTTCAAAATCTGAAAATTTAAGTTGGTTTTGTGTTTGGGGCTAGACACCAGAATTCCTTTTTGTTTGTGAAAACTGCAGTCACTTCAGGCACTTGCTGACCTGGAATATTTAAGATGATTATCAGCAGGTGATATAAGCTAAAAATATTTAGTGGTACTAGCACCCTGAGGTAGTTCCCAACGACCTCACTGACAGACCTCGAAACAGGAGGCAGGAAATAACAGTTGTGCAAACTGCCATAACCTGTAGGGGCATGCCTGAACAAAGCCTTAAAAATCACCCTGTGTCCACACTCAGAAAGGCTGAATATTCAAAGGGAGAGAAAGGATTTACATTCTGCCAGCATCAAAGAAATGGACAAAAGCATTTCATGCAGCTGTCCTCTAGTTTAAAGAAAAAAAAATGAAACAGACAGAAATATCAGAAAATTCTTTAATAGCTTCTTGTCTAGCAGAGGAGATTTGAAATGCTAGCTTGCAGCTGTGAAAAATGGACCAGCTAATACAGTCATAAACCATCACACTGCATCAGAGATGCTGACTCCTCCATTTGTTGATACTTTCATTAATACTCCCTTTCTAGATTAAAGCACAATACATTTCTCTATACTGCAGCTACTGAAACTGTGAGGTCTTTTAGAGCAAGCTCTTCTCTCCATTCATTCAGGAGTGATCTGGCTTCCGTCTAAAACCAAAAAGGAGAAGAATTGAGCTTTTCTGAATCATATTTATGGCCAGCAGCCTGTTCTGTTCTCTATATTCTCTCAGGCTTGGTAACAGGGCAGGACTACTTGCAGGAAAAAAGGGATGGACCCCATGACAGTGTTCTAATTACAAAAACCACATAAACAAACAAAAAACATAATAATAACAGAAAGGTGAAGGAGCAAAATATCTTTGCTAAATACACTTAGCAAGGGACTGGGGGAAGAGAAAGCTGGCAGACAAGAAAGGAGTTAGAGACCATGCTGCACGATGCTCTCCTCCTGGGACTGCTGCGTCACTGCGATGTGAGGGTAACGAATTTGTCAGCTTTTTATTTTAATGCAAGTGCAAAAGAAGACAGCATAGATATCCTTGCTCTTTTAACAACTTGTTAACAACATTGAGAGCAGTATGTTCAACTATGCACTTGGGGCTTTAGTGAAGAAGCTATCCATGCACACCCTGCACCATGCCTGGGAGAAGACTTCCTCCATCCTAAGCCTTCCTCTGTTCTCCAGAGTTAGGTACAGTGCAGGAGGTGCAAGTGAAATGCTGAGCCTTAGTTTGCTTAGTGGTTGACTTAAGCTTTTAAGCTCAAGAGATTGGTGTTGCATATACAACACTGTAGGGCAGACCATCCAGACAGACGACAGCTTTTATAGATCGAGGAAGTTTCTCCATCACGTGAGGTAATGCGCAACGATAAGAGGAGGAGAACAAAGAAGAAAAAAATACAAAAAAAATGAACTGGAAAAACATTACTCAGAGATCCTCTGTTAATAAAACGATGGATCTGAAGAGCAGACGAATGAAAAGCACGAGGCAAAGGTACAGAGCTCACAGGGAGTTCTGAAGAAAGATCCAAGGGAAAAAGGAAGATGATACCATAGAGTTAATCACTTCATGTGGATGTTGACATAAAGTGCACTGAAAACAGAGGAGGTAGGAGAGAGAAAACAACATGATTAGGAGAAAAAGGAAACCACAGTTAATTTGTTAACGTGAGCCAAACAATATTATCACTGCTAAAATAGTTTTATGTAAAGAGGAGTTGCAGGGCAAAATAAAATTAAATTATACTATCACTTTAGCTACTGCTGAAAAACAAAATGAAGCCAGACATGATTTTCATTCTAAACCTTGGTGAAGCACAAGTGTTCTCTACAAACAGTATTTATTTGTAGTAGCAAAAGCTTGTTTTAATTACACAGGTTAGTTCCACAAAGAAGCCACAGGGTTTTTACCTGACACTCAGTAGATCTTCCAGAAATTCTATGGGAAAATGTCTATCTCTTTCTCCTACTAACTGAGGCTTGTACAGGAGCATCCTGTCTTGGAAGTCATGCTTTTTTGCCCCTTTTTCTTTCTTTTTTTTTCTTTTTTTTTTTTTTAATATAATGCTGACTGGCATTTTCACTGGATCAATTAGAAGAGGGTAACAGGACAGAGAACCTTTCCACAACTGCTCTCTTTAGCTTTAATGGCAGCCACTTGCTAGACACAGCTCCCTGTCCGTGCATCCAAGTGCGCACGACAGCCAAAGCTGGTGGGGCTGCCAGGGCTGCAGCGCCCGCGTCCCCCCACGCACGGCACTGACGGGGATGAGGAGACTCCAGGAACCACAACGGGCAGAAAACAAGGAAAACATGATCGCTGCTGAAACCAGTGCAGGATTTCACAGCTTAAGCCTCGACAGATTTCAGAAAAAAAGGTGAACTGTTATTTACTTCTTTCTGCTTTTTCCTTTTATTTGAAAAACAAACTAGCAAAGAAAGCAACTAACTATTCAGCTAGCTATTTGAGGTTACTTTCATCCATTCCCAAGAGTAAACAGAAGAACTGAGAAGAAAAAATAAGTCTCAAATTAAGTTACAAGTTTTTGTTGGCAAAGGCACACTAATATTTATAAAAAACACCCTGCAAGCTTTCATGAGACACTGGCAAGCGAATCCCTGAGAACTATCACTTGCATTTTATCTCAAGGGAATCCTCTTATCAGGTTTTTAATCAAGCCAGCATTACAGGAACAACCTTAAGATAAATGAGAGCATAATTATGCCAAAAAATTAAAATAAACAATAAAGAACATTTTTATTACTACTTTTACACGTTGACAAATTATAGAAAGTGACACAGGTCACAATCTATGCAACTGCAGAAATATTTATGTTATATTAAGAATTCCTATTATATCTTTGGTGGGTAACATTTCGACAACACGGTATTTGAGAAGTCCAGGTCTTGCCCAAGACATTCATCGTTTTTGGCATTTTTCTTTCATTAAGCTTTTGCTTAGCATCTTTCAAATCTGGTTTATAACTACAGAGTCAGGTTGAAGACATCTCCGTGTGTGAAACACTGGGAGTTTAAAACAAGGCATAACATTTGTCAAACGTGCATTTTATCAGCTACAGAAGATGCTGTAAAAAGATGTATTTCTTCCTGCTTTCAGTGCAACAGGTAAGTCCATTTTTATGACAGAAAACACAACAAAGAACATATATTAAACACCTAATCTCTTGTATAAGTTCTAAGATGTAGGAAAAGACAAGAAACTATTCAAGGTTCTATAAAAATTCACGCATATGAAAAACTTTCAGCTCTACAAACACAATTTTTTTTTCAGTTCTCAAAGGACTTAGTCCTAAAGCTCCAGTTCAGATACACAAATCAAAATTCCATTATTCCAGCAGTAAAACGTCCCTCCCCAGAGGCCATAAACAATAGAAGTTTTTAAGTATAAAAATAAAGAAATAACAATAGTTTGCCTTGCATAATAAGTTTGCAAACTATTTGTATATAACATTTCATATATATGTCTTATGGATACGCAGCATTTTAATACACACCTGAGACATGGAGACAACCTCAAACCATCGTAAAATTCCTGGAAGTTTGTATGCCGTAACAAATGATGTTCTCTCAATCCACATAGACTGTTAAAAAATAAAGCAGGAAGAGAAAGTGACTTAAGGATTTAATTTTAATATTTTTTGCTTTTTGAGATTTCAGAGTTACAAGAATTTAGATGGGAAATATATGCACATTTATTTTTGCTTAAAAAACACTGCAAAAATCAAGCCAGCATGACAATTTGCACAAACCACTATCCTCATGTCAACTTAGGGCATCTTTAGGCAGTAAGCCTACACAAAGCAGAAGAAAAATTAAAAACTACTCTTATATCTTTTAGTATCTATTCTTAACTTTGCCATTAGAGGTTGAATCACTGTCCAAGTGAGGCACTCTCACACTCTCCACCCAAACACTTTCTCCTTCAAGACTGCACAAATAACTGACGTGATTTGTACAGTTTGGGACTATATAGCTTTTTCCCTGCAGTATTCCCAAAGTACAGTTTTAGCTATAAAGATTGAAAGGTTTTCTTTTTTCTTGTACATCTCTATGACCACAGTATAGAAACTCATATATTTCTATGCACGACGCTGAAAAATAAACTATGGCACTGCAGATTTCCTAGGATATTTAAATAATCAAGACCATTTGTCACCGTTACACCATTGTGCAAAGGAATGAGAATGGCAGACACAGCACTCTAGTGGGTCAGGATTTCACTGAGCTAACGAAAGTGGGAAACACACACCTCTTATTGCCAAGCTAGCAGCGCCTGCTGGAAGGGGTATAACTACAGCTAACAAAACATTTATTTACATGACATCTTGATAAGAATGATAATTTGCACTAGAAAACTTTATTGCTCAATACAATTGTTTTTACATGATTAATACATAATGTTTACCTAAAATGCAAACAGTGATACAACATTGAATATGTATATAGGGGAATGCCAAAACGGATTCTAAAATCAAGTCTTCTGTATTAAGTAATCTGAGAGTGACCAAGAAGAGATTTAGATTAGAAACCAATCATGGCAACTTGAGTAATTTAAACTCAATGAAAGAACATCACCCTGTCATTCGTTTACTTACAGCAAATTCATTTTCAGGGTCAACAGATCCTTTTCTGACTGGTCTTGAATAGTGGAAGCGCTGCACGTTGTTGGACTTGTAAAAACTGCAAGTTTTTTTTAAATGCAATAAAAACAGAATTCAGAAATTTCTGGATCCATCATACTGAAATACGTCATTTAGTATTTTTAATTAAAAGAAAATTTAGTACTCAGGAAAAAACACTACCACCAGCTCAGGATACAAGTTCATCATAAACCATGGCGCGCACAGTATTATACAGGAAGGTATGCCTGATCTTGTGACTGGGTGTAACCTCCAGGTACAGAACTTCCAGATTAATGTTAGAATTTACAGAAGAATCTCTAGTAAATATTTTTGCTTTCCCATGTGCTGTGACACTCATATTGCTTCCTGCTTTATAATGTCACACAAAAGGAATATATTTTGTTAAAAGGAACTGACTGAGAGGATACATTCATTTAAATTCAAGTATGTCATTCTTTATCCAGTGCCCACTCCAATTCAGTTTAGTTTAAGCAGAATTGCTTCGAGTTTGCTTACAATGCAGAATAACAGTTGTTCAATAAACTAAACATATGAAGCCATAAATGACAATTTATTTTGATGTGTAAATAAATGTATACAAACATCTATAGAGGGGGGTATTAATATAAAAGAATCTCATGTAAACTGGATCATTCTCAATTGCTCAGACACACATTTCCACTCAATTCTTAAACACTCAGTTTTCTGTACCAGTTAATTTGAAAGAACAGACATCACACAGCTCTGACTCTTCAAGTGTTTTAGACTCTGCAGAGAAAGCACATTTCTTTTTGGTGCAAAGTTTTTCTTTTAAAGAATAATTCTATTTAAAGCAATTTCAAGTAAAATCTAACTTCACAGTGAGCAAGAAAATATTTCAGAAATACCTTACGCTAAAAACAAATCATATTCTAGAACGCCTGGAAAAAAAAATAAATAAGATTTGCTAGTTCACAGAAAAATTATTCTTGACCCAAGCTACTAAATTTATCTTCATCAAAAATAAAAAAAAGAAAAAAGAAAACCTGCCATGCAAAGTTAGATCACTTGGCTCCATCTGAAAGAACTGAAACTTTCTGGGTAGAATACTTTGCCATCAAATAATGTAGCTAACAATTATAGAGCCAATAAAGCACTCTCATAAAAATATACAATTTAGGGCCAGATTTGTAAGCTGTTTTGTCAAATACTGGTTTTAAAATGAATTTGAGCTGAAATTAGGACCACAGTTCACATTTAATCTTCTACTACAAGACTTGAGCACATATCTGCTTCATTTCTTTTGGCAGGGAGTGATTCTTACCTTTTGGCTGTGAGCCACTTGCAATCTCAGTAAAGGTTCTATTGAGAGGGCTGCAAAGGTGAAATCTGCTCTGAATCCAGCTGCGGCACATGAAGAAATTACCTAGTCTCTGATAAGTGCAGGATCAATGGAAACCACTCAGGCTACCAAACGTTTTGCACTTGGCAAAGTGAGTCATAAAGATTCAGTCGAACAAGAGCCTTCCACTCACACACTCTCACACTGACAATCACCCCTAAATCCCTGCTGTCAGGTGTCTTCGAAGCTGCACTGAAACCTCCAGAGTTTGGTCCTGAAGCATGGATTTTTTCCCCTTCCTTTATCTAATCATGTGCTGTTGTTCAAGTGACAGATGTTCTCTTATGCAATGCCCAAGGAATCCCAAAGTCAGTAGAGAGACAATGCAAGGTCCAAGAATCAATGCACAATGCCTGAGTTCATAAAATAATGGCTCTGATTTTAAGATTATAGATTGACTTTCACTATATTGTATTATATATTACAGAAGTTTACTTACTTAATAATTTGATCAGGTACTGCTTTATTTTTGAATCTAGGTTGCTCCTCCAGGACTGGCTGCACAGTAAAACACTGAATGTCTGAAATCATGATGGAAGGTTAAGGACATATAAGCAACTAGTGTGAAACACTGCAGCTTGGAGGCAGCAGAAGGGAATAGGCAAGGAGGCATTTCCAGAGCATGATCTGCAGATAAAACATGCCAGTAACATTAACTTTAAAAGATGTAAAACGTAGTGTCAAGAACCTCAATGTTCTTAATACTTGTTGAGATTAAATATCTGTAGCTTCACTTATCACTCTGAAACTTTCATTAATTTTAAAGCAAAGCCAACTTGCAAAAACATCAGCAACGGTTGATGTTAATGCTTTGACTGTTCAGCTTTGAGTCACGCATGGTGTCATGTTTAGCATTTCATCTTTGCAATCTGTAATTAAGCAGCCCTTCTACTGCAAGATTTTCTAAGAAACTGTTATTTTTAATCTTGGATATTATATTTGTAAATAAGTCATTCTTACATAGTGTATTTCTATTCATATTGTATTTCAATCTCATGCCCTCTAGTTAGATTCCATTGCTGTTTCGTCAGTGCGTAAGCTAAGATGCAAAACAAACTAATGAATGTCTCGCTCTCAAGCTTCATGTGCTATTTTGGGCAAGATAATGACAGCCTGCTTCACAAAAGTGAAGAAAGGAAGCAGTATTTCCATTGCCACTCTAGCAGATTCTATCACAATAGACTCAAGAGAGCACATGAAATGTTTCACGTGATAATTAATAAAGGAAAATCAACTAATGAACATCTGATGCTTTGGTGATTTCACACCTGCTCAGCCAGTAAAGTTCAGATTCAGATCAGAACACGAGGAAAAATGTGACATGCATCAACCATTATAACATTTCTAAACAAGAATATTTTAGTGCTCTCTAAAAAGTGGGGAATGGTGGCTTAGACGGATTCTCCTAGGAACATTTTTGTGATATAAGGCAAGCTCTTGGTGCCAGGAAAGACAGGTGATGCCTGAGCAGCACAGCAACCAGAACAAAGCTCAGGGAAGATCTGAATTCAATATGAAGACACAAAAGACAACAAGGAGGTATCAGACAAGCTGCTGCTTTAAAAATAGCTAATTCAAATGTTTTTGGAACATTTTGGAACACTGTTTTTGGAACTTGAAAAGAGTTTTGGAACTTACACTTGAAAGGTAGAACATGTATGAACTGGACTGAAGAATAAAGCAACCAGTCAGCTTAGAACTGCCGACGAAACAGCAGCAAACACTCCTAGGAAGAAGCCCTGAAAGAAGAGCAGGGCGCGCAAGTCAAACTGCAGGTGGTTAAACTGCCACCTGGAGAGGCTTTCCTCCCTTCCAGGAAATGAGTGATGGACATGACTAAACTCTTGCAGATCTGGCAGTTTAAGAAACTATAATCTAATCCACTTTCATAAAAAATAGCTCTCAGATTACTGCTCATTGATTTTGTTTGTCAATAATAGATTTTTTTTTTTAAAAAGTCCCTATGACAACGTGAGTGAAAACCATGCTTGGAATCTTATTTGTAAAAACAAACAACCCAAAAAACAAAAAATAAAAATAAAACAGCAGAAAAGCAATTCCAGTATTAAAGCAAGGATTTTTGGTGCATTTGAGGTGAAGAGAGACATCCAAAGCTATCTTGTTCTGAAGCATTGGTGCTGTGCCACCGACTGCGTTTGATGCATAAAGATTGTTTGAGAAGGGAAAGCCTTAGGAGTATTCGACATGAAAAAGCCCAGTGACTGGGTACATCCTGATTCAGAGCTGCTGTCAGGCAAACGTGTAAAAAATTTACTCGCAAATAATTACAGCAAGCTGTTCCATGCTTTGTTGTTTGCAGTTTTTGAGGACAGTTGTAATGCACAACTAAAGAACATCTATTACAAGTGTTTTCTAAAATGAAACTCAAGGTAGGAGCAGGCTGCAAAGCTTTCAAAAACGAACACATCTGTGTGCTGATACATATCTTTTTCTAAAGTCTTCAGAGACAGGAGGGAGAAAAGGGAATCAAGAACAATAAAAGCTCTTCTAATTAGCTGAATTTAGTTTTTAATTTGGTAAACTTAAATTTTAAATCAAATTAATAAAAAGTAAATTATTAATAAATTAATAGAAAGTAAATAATTTAATGGTAAAAATGACATTTCCAACTCTGCCGTGGCAGGTTCATTGAAAGACAATAGAGCTGGCATTCACAGCTCACAACGCTACGTGCTAATTAAGGATTTAGTTGATGCTGCAGTTAGTGTCAGGCCGCCTTGCTGGACAAGCCCTTTCGCCAGCCCCGCACCGCCACCTTCGCTCTCGTTCAAGGATACACTGGCCAGGAGAGTTTTTCACCTCCTCCCCAGGCGCCGAGGTCGTGGTCATCTCCTCTACGTTGGGAAACTGGCTCATGAGCTGCGCCTGGAAATCCTCCCTCCTCTCGTACTCCTTCCCGCGGTAGATGAATACTTTGTTCTGCAAGGAGCAAACACTAGATTTGGGGGGCTCAATGCTGCTGGGGAACAATTAGGTGACTGTTTCTCAGGACAAACACAACAGGGTCTCCAAATTTTTGTTATTGCAGTATGAATGTTAACAGCTTATAAAGCAGGACACCACTTTGACCACGTGCAGAATGCATCTCTGACTCCCCACAGATCATACTTAATATGGTGAGACAGGATGAATGCAGAACTGGCATCACTGAGGATCTGGCTTTAGAACAGAACAAAGTCGGAGAGTTTTATTTTTAAACATCTTCTGGGTCCCAGTTTTGCAGCTTTTTAACACTAGCATGCAGGTTTGCTCTGCCTGCACCTTACCCTTGGTGTTATGAAATTTATAACAGTCTACCCTGAAACCTGTTCAATTTATGGTTAAGATTGCTTAATTTACCAGGACACTTTAAGGATATCAGAAAGAAAATGTGCAGCCCCCGTTTTGTGTAGTATTTATACACCTTCCTACTACTTTTTTTAACCTTGTCAGGGAACTTCGGCCTTTAAGACTGGAAAAGAGAGGTCTCATTGCTTTTCAAGTATGGGGAAACCTACCATATTCACTGCGTAAGAAAACATTTACTTTAGCAGAAAAGGTCATATATCCAGGTAGTAACCTGAACGTCCTAACTCTAGGCTCTGAAGGCATCGTTGTGGTAACAGAGGGAGGAGCAGTAACAAGCTTCTCACAGTCAGTACAGGGAGAGTTGGTCGGGTTATTTGTGAGATAAATCATCTTGCGAATTACAAAACTAGGTCTCATCCTTACCTCTTCTATCTGCACAGCAGTTGGCATGGAGGGACTGTATTCATTTAAAACCTGCCTCCAGACAAGAACACTATGTTTGTGGATAAAATAATACTGAAAAACAGGGTGGTCAAGACAAATCCTGCTAAAGGAAAGCCATGTTGTTGTTCCTCTTGTTTTTATCTTAAGTAAAGTCCAACTGTGCTCTAATTATTAAGTTGGGCAGTCCTCTCAAAAAAATCCAGACTCCAAGGAGTCTGCATTTACCTGGTAGTAAAAATGGAAAAAAGCAAAAAAATCCAGAGATAGTAAATAAAGGGGAGGGATGTTTGTGGAAGCAATTTAGACTTACAGTAACTCTCCTGAGATATCAAGCATTTGTTACCATACAAAAAAAACTTGGACTAATAAGATATAGTTTGAAAATGCCAGCTCAGGTGGTTGGTATTAGAGATTAAAAAAAAAAAAAGAAAAAAAAAAAGTAAACTGAATTTCAGGAATATCAGTTAAAATAGCTGGGAAAAAATAAAGCAAATAAAACATACATGAAAATATCACTACACACCAGCTCTATATTGTAGTCATTATATTCTTCCCTCTTCTAGTTGTCTACAGTTTGCCACAGCAAAATACAGCGTGGGTCTACACAGTATATTCACTAACCAAACCAAATGTGCTGCTGGCGTGTTCTCAATACATTGCAGTGGTAGCTGAGATGCAACAGAACTGGAAGCTCTTGTCAGTTTATGATGAGGTCCACCAAAAATGTCAGGCTCTTAAGTGAGGCAGATTTTGAGCTCCATTTACTTAGCAGCACTGTACCAGTTATTAACACTCTTCCTGGGGACACATCTGTGAAATACACACCTTAGGGCAGACCATGTTGCTCTCATGAATCATTCTTAATGCATGACATAAGCCCTAATTTCCACAATCAACATGAAGAAAAAGCAGCAACTTAAACCCACCTGAAAACGTGCCATACCTATCCTTACAAATAACTATTCAAATGATGAGTACAATCCTGCACCAAGGCAGGAGTAAATCAAGGATAATTTTTCCTAGGCTCACTTGCATTAGTATGGGACACGAGTACTTGTAAAGGATATAAAAAATAGAATAAAAAATGAAGAATTTGAATAGAGTTACCCTTAGAAATGTGGGGAATCCTTGGCCATAATATCCAACAGCAAAATAATCTGGTTTAGGCCTTAGAATTTTCATGATGTTTTCATAGAACTTAGCTTGTTGAATCTGAAAACAAAAGCAACCATGATTATTTCTATTTTTTTTTCATTTATTTTCACCTCTGCAGTAGTATATATTGTGCCAAGAGCACCTAACTGTGTACTATCAGTTGATAACAACAGCTTCCAATTATCCGTTGGCAAGCTATAGCTATAACCAGTTAATAGCACAGCAGAACATGTTGTGTGTATATGTTAAATACTGTTTAATTTATATGCAAATATCACACATTAAAAAAATTCAATAGTTTAGCAAAAGTTAAAACTTACTCTTCCACAAAACGAATTTTTAAAAATTGCAGACAACAAGCTCATAAGCAGCCTCAAAGCCTCTCTATGCGTCAACTCTTTTACATCTCAAAACTATTCATTTCTGTGACCGAAATACTTCTGAAGATCTGTATATATTCTTACCAGGTTTTGGCTTAAAAGTTCATAGTCAAAAACTTCCTTTTCATACTGCTCTGCAAGTTCTTTACATAAAGATATGGCTTCTTCCCACATCTGCAATGCAATCACATACTCAGAAAGTAAATGCAGTGCCAACAAATAAGTCTTTAAGGCATCGCTATTTAACTACAGTTTTATTGACTATGTTATCTTTAAATTGCAGTCATTTATTAAGAGTACGTTTAAAATGAAGGACCCAAGGCAATCATAAACTTCTGGAAAGCAGATTAATGTACAGAATAAAAGTGTTTTATGGTTCGTTATAAGAAGGAATAAGTAAACCTCTTTTATACTTAGAATAAGGTTACCAAAGAAATCACCTAATCTTTCACAAACAATAAGCAAGGAGAGTAAATCAGTGAGGTGCACAGTGTCTAACACTCACTGGAGGCACAGGAACAGCGCATCAGGGACAGATACCTATCTCTCTGGAAAACATCTTCCATTTTATAAGTAATTTGAAAGCATACGTACTCATAACTAGTCTTGCATAGGAGAACCCTATGTACTCAGCTACAAAATTGCACATCTTAGATTTAAATTACCACTTGCCCAAAGTAGCAGCTTATTTCTTTCTACATAAGATAATAGCTACCTCTGAAAATCATTATAAAGAACTACAGAACTACTGTGGAAAGACTAGGACAGTTTTTCCCTGCTGAAAGTACTTAATGTCTGCAGCACAAAAGTAGTTTTAAAAACAGCTGAAGGAATTTCTCAGGTTTTGCTCGTCTTCTCACCTATCCAGAATAAAGGACACAAAAAGGGTTTTCTGAGACTAATTTTCCCATGATGTAAGGTCACTGCTGGCCACGTGCATTGGGACTGTTTTGACATACATCCCCCTAGGCCAGGTAGTTCTGAACCTGACGACAGGACCCAGGTGCCTGCAAACCTCCTCTGCTACATCCAGGCCCAACCTGAATGTTGGGCAGAGCAGACATCACCATGATTTGATTATTCTCTTACTGTGGGCGAGGGCTGCTACATTGTATTTATATCAGAGTCAACAAAGTACCTCTGTTGTTTTAAATAGCACTATTTTTGCTGCACAGTAACAAGTTTTTGCTGAATTACTATAAATTTCCTGCCTTCTGAGTTATAGGGGGCTTCAGTGGGGGCTTTATGCCTTTGTTTTGTGAGAAGCCATAATTAACAACCTTCCCCCTCCATCCCTTCAGTTACAGCTCAACAAGATGTAATGAGTTAAAGGCCTTACTGGGCCATAATCCCTCTCTAGCACTGAAAATCGTTTCCCTGCTTGCTAGTGCTTCATCTTAGTTCTAAACAGCTCAGCTCTATTGTCACCGTAGTGACAGGCAGCTTTAATAACAGATTCCCCCAAAATGCTGACATGAAACCAGATATGGATCAGCAAAGTACTACATATTAAGTTTGAGATGCAATTTTCAGACCTCTCTGAAACAAATAAATAGGTCCTTTTTCAACTGCCTGTGTTTTGGTGGGGAGGGACAAAAATCAAATGATTTAGAATGCAGCATGTATAGTCGATGTTCCTTTCCTAATAAAAGGAAGCACATTCTACATTTGTTATTATTTTATTACAGCCTGAAGTGTCCGAGACGCACGTGACCAGTACATGCTCTAGCCTCTTCCTTTGTAAATGTGCTTAGAGAAAGGACATGTTTATACAGAACAGATGTACTCTGCGAATAAGCCTCCAGGACACAGTTTTTACTTGACCCATATTTCAAAGAGGATTTCCTACACAATAATCAAACAAATGTTTTCTCTGGAGAATACTTATTAAATGCTGCTATACAAAGTAACACGGTTAAGAAGAGGTTGCGGGGAAGCAGGGGTGATGACCCCCCAGCCCTACCTTTCCTTTGTCAAAGTAATCTATAATCTTCTCGTACAAATTCTCCTTCAAGTGTCGGTGAGTCTGGGAACACTGGAACTCTGTTGACATGACCTGCGGTGCACACTGTTCATCTGACCACTGAGGATAAAAACACATTGCAAAAATAGGAGTTCAAAATACGTCTACTCCCCCAAAACCAGGTTGCTCCAAGGTTCCACCCCTCCCCACAGGTTTTACCTAGCACAGACTAGAGGAAAGGCACTAAACCAAAATGAAGTTTAATCCCGACAGCACTGTGAAAGGGCGAATTTTGATGCTTCTGCCTAAAAATAAATTCCCCAAGAAAATTCAAATTCTGTTCAAAAATCCTTAGAGCAATTTTTCCCTTGAAATGGAAGTGCATCTTACTGACCATTTAAATTGATAGCAACAGTTATGAAACACTGAAAAAAAACATTTCTTTACTTATAAACTCAAACATTAAAAAGGTTTATTTATCTGTTTGGTTTAGGAATATCCAACCTTCAAGAGCCATGTGTGGAGCAGAAGAGTATATGCAGCTTCCGTGTAATTCTCACAATCTAAATGAAGATCTCGCAATTTATACAAATATCTAACAGAGGGCAAAACAAAAATTAGTTTAGGTATACACGTGTCTAGAAAGCTAAGTATTAGATATGTCCTAGAAAAACGCTAATGGAAATTTCAAAGATACCACGGATGTTCACCCAAGGAGCAGTGAGAGATGGTGTGTGCATGAGCTAAGGCCAGGGCAGGCTGGGGCACGTTGAGTGCTGCTGACTTTGAGGAGCATCAGGAGAGGCAGGGAACAGAGTCCTGGACAGTCAGATTTGCTACATTTCACATGAAAAATACTCGGAGACAACATGAGGCCATGTTGCATCAAGATGATATCTGCCAGTGCGTATCAGCTCTTGGAGAAAAGGGTTTTACCGGTAATTCAACCTGCCATGAAGTGCACTGCATGGTGAAAGGTGCTGTGTAGACCACATAACTCTACAAAGGTACAAGTGGTTTCTCTGCTCTTACAGATTTAGGGTATATTCTCCATGCAACCTCAAGCCCAGCAAATAACAGATTAAAAATGCAACACAGTCGCCACAGATGATAAAGTACCATAGAACAGTAGAAATTAATGTAACACAGGATAAAAACAGGATTCATTGGTATCACTGCCCTCTCCAAAACAGCAACGGCCATACCTGATATACATCCCTTCACGGTTAATGTCTTTGTAGAAATTCTAGGGACAGAAACATGTAAATGTTACTTTCTAATCTCTCTTACTAAAGCACAAAATAAAAACTTAAGCTGAGATTTGGCTTTTCAGCTGTATTTAACACATACCAAAACATTATTCTGTATTTGAACACATTTTTCAGCTAAAAATTTAAAGGTGAAATTATGAATAACACTGTAAGGTAAACATTATTTACAAAACATCTTAACTTTAGATCTAGTACTATTGCTTTTTCAGTTAACATTTTAATTAGTTACTAGTAAATGTTGTTATACTCACAGAGTAAATATCTTAATTTGCTAAAGAAATAATTTCTCACAGTTTTCTTTGGGAGAAGAGGAAAATATGGTTATCCAAGGGCATTAACACACGATACTACATGCTCTGGCTACACAAGATGTGACTGTGATACAGCACTGTTGTGCTACGTGTGTGCATCCTATCTTTAAGGTGGACACTTGTCCCAGTGGGATTTAAGCATCATTCCCACACTGCACATGCCACGTAATGCTCAGACACCTTCACCTTCACTCTTCCTTCACATGGGTTTGCTTCTTGCTTGGACGAGCAGATCAGGTGCTACTCACCTGTTTGCAGTACCTGAATGAACTTGAGTACCTCTGCTTTGTCAAGCAACATAACAACGTAAGGGAAAGGCTGACATGTAAAAATGAAGGGATTAAACCCTGGGTTTAAATCACTCCTGCATACTGTAATCACTTGGCAGGAAGATCTGCTCTCCTCTTTCACAAGTGGATTGGGAAGGCTGCCCCGCTGCCACGCAGGGGCTGCAGGAGGGGACGTACCAGCAGGTTCACGGTGCAGCTCATGCGGTTGTCCTTGCTCTCATCGCTCATCACAGTCCGGTAATCCAGCAACTTTGCCAAGAGCCCTTTCACCAGGTTGACAAAACTTTCAACTGAGTTATAGATGTCAGGGTGCTGACAGGCACACTCCATAAGACTGCAAACATAGGCAATAAAATGATTTTACAGTGCTGTCAAAATTAGTGTCCCATCAGTTGAAACCATTTGGACCTGCAGCCAAGTCCTGTCTTCCACTGCTACAACAACTACAATGTGTGCTGGAAATTCCCTTTGTGGCCTGGTAATTTAGACACCCAAAAGACAGATGAGAAATAAAGAGAAACAAATGAAATATTTCCCCTTCTTGCCTGAAAATGACTGCAAATTCAAGAGAATACATGTATACTTTTAAAAGGAAGTCCAATTGTGTTTGTGGTACAGCAGGAGTATGAAGTCTCTAGAGCATCACGCTACTACAAGTATCGAACCTTCCTTTCCCCTGCTAGCATGCAGCATCAAATGCAGCAATTACTTCCTTCTCTTTGCAAAGTTACCTTTCAGCAGAACTGCAAACTGAGCTGACAAACTAAAATTTTAGTTTAACATGTTCTAAAAAGACTTCACCAGAGCCATTTTCCTTTAAGAAAACCAAATGACAACCTTTTGCGCAGTCAGGTAATGCAGTTAGTTCTCTTCTCATAAGGAGAAGGTAAAGTGAGCTTTAAACATCAGCAGCACATGCTATTTCTAAACAGCACTGAAGTGACCAAGGAGCACAAGTTTCATATTCCTCTCAGCTTTTGTTTTCCAAGTGGAGCTGTTTAAACACAGGAAATGATTACTAGCATCTCATTAAGGATGATTTTCTTTCTTTGCTTAAAAGCTGTTTTCCCCTTAGGATTCTCATTTTACACTGGGACTCTGTCTGACAAAATCCATTCTATTTTTACTTTAATATACACACACAAGTTATTACATGCATATTGAGCACATTCTCTTCATAACATAGATAAATCACTGTGCATGTCACATGGAAAAAAGAACAAGCTAGCAATCGCAAAATCCTCATTGATACTGAGCTGAGTGCCTAAGTAGGGCAGTTGCAATGACACATTTTCCATGATTCTTGACCTCTTAGTGTTTCATTAATGGTTTTCAATTTATATGCAAAAATATTTAGTAATTGATAATTAATCCTTAAGGAAGTTCACTTTTTTTTTAAACTTTCACTATAAAGCACTGTAATTAATTATAGCATCCCTTTTTTAACTTTTCAGAATCACTTAGGCTTTCTTCAGAAAATACATATTCATATTAACTTCTACTGTAAAAAATCCTCTAAAATAAGCCTAAAATAGAGCCTGAGCCAGGCACCATTGAACTTCTCATTTAAGGAAAGTAAAACCAGCACCTAATGTTTATTTCTTTGCACAGGTCCAAAATATACCAATCCTTTTTCTAAAAAGAGCTTGAAAAGCTTTTCAAAGTTGTTCTCAAAAACTTTGCTGCAAGAGAACACCCTTTGGGGAAACACTGAGATGTTCTGAAGACATTTCTTCTACAGTGTTACTTACATGGACTCAAACAACTGCATATACTGTTCATCTCCACGTCCTCCTTCCACCTCATGGTCCAACTTTAAAATGATTTCATTTTCAAACTAATAAATAAAGAACAAAAACAAATTTCACTTGAATAACACACTCCAGACTATCCAGATGATTGTTTCTCAATAAAAAGTGCTAAGATAACCTGAGGACACAGAGTTGCAGTCACCCAACTAGAGCTTTTCAGAGCTTAACTAGGAAGCGGCGCCATGCAAAGAGTCAAAATCAGCAACCTAAGTACTGAAATCACCAGTGCCAACAGTTTGATACCTTTAAAGTGCACTAAGCTCTATCCAAAATTCTCTGGAGAAGTTCAAGGTCAGAAATATAACCTTAATTCTTAGAGAAACAGAAGTACATGTCAGAGTATCTTAACCCAGCACTCAGCAAGATCGTATCATAACTGTAAATGTTATTGTGTTGCAGTATCAATATACAATTCTGATTTGTCATTTCAAATCTCTTGCAATATATTATACACAGGAAACTGCTTCATCATATGGAAAAAGTCGAAGCAATTAGCCGTGTTTAAACGAGAAGCTGTAATCAGTTTGCAAGTTCTTTATCAGACATTACACAGACTTCATTTAAGTTGAAGAAATGAAGAAAGTGGAAATTATAACAAATGCATGAGTACTACTTTCTTCTCCAAGGAGCGTCATTGAAAGCTGATATTTCTTAGCAACAGTGGAAACAGAAAAAATGAGTGAGTTTTATAATGAAAATACTAGTTGAAAAGCTAGAAACAAAAATAAAATATCTCCAGTCAGTTGGAAATTTACTGAGAAACGATTTTAAGAAAAATATACCCCCATTAATACTGTCTAGTGTAGACACAGGCATTTTGGATGCAATTATGGGGTAAAGCCTGTTGTTCTCCAGACATGATCTAAAACAATTTAGAAAAAGAAACAAACAGCATTCCAAAGAGCTGATTTAAAAATAACCTTGCTACAAATACTCATCTTGGAAAAGAAAAAACTAATTCATGTAATATAGAGATATTGTAGGGCAAATAATAACTTAATTCAATGAGTTTAGCAAAAAGAAATCTTAATGTTGAATTTCTGTATGGTTTAGGATGTTACAAAAATCCTAAGAGGCAGCCAGGCTATTAGCACATATTTTTCCAAATCTTCAAATATTATGTTGCAAAGAAACAGGCATCTTTTTGCACCTGCAGGTTGGAAACAGAAGTTGAAGCCGGGCTCCCAAAGGAAACCCCCTGGCAGGCAGTGACTCTTACGAACTGCTCTCTAACACATTTTATCCTCTGTGGCAGCCTCAGCAACCTTCCCTGAACCCCTGCATCGTTTCCAAGCCTCTTGGCTGATAATTTCTTTAGATTCTTCATTCTTTGAGGTATCTTTTTGGCTTCTTAGATTAAAATCCTACAGTCTGTAAAGCATTCTAACATTGTACACAGTGTCTACCAGAGCCTCTAGCATTAATACATCCCCACGAGCATTCTTCAGTTTACATTTCTTACCATTTTTTCAATTAGATGCATTTCAATTAGATCTTTTACCCTCTACTGTGCAGCATCCAACTTAACAGGACTTGGACTTGAAGTCCAGACTCAGCACTGTAGGGAGACTGCACATCCCCTTCTGCCTCTTGCCCAGCCACGTGCATCATTCTCAGATACCATCGGCCATGATACCGATTTGTAAAGAACCGGCACCATCAGAAAATTACAAGTTTATAATGTCAACATGTTTTCAGTTGTTTCCAACACAGTTGTGTTTGTCCCTTTATGCTTTCCCCCATTTCTCATGAAGTCTTTGAATCTTTGAAGAATAAATTATTCAGATGGAGCAAACAGGCATTGATTTTTTGTTCCTCTTTCTTTGTCTAACTACTGCATGCTTCATATTCTCTTAAATAATGCATGGGGAGGCAGCAGAAGGGAAAAGTGCCTGTTTGTGCTGTGTGCTCTGCTGCCCTGCGAGTCAGCGCGAGGCGGGCACGCTGCAACAGGGAGCTGCAAAGACGGCGCGGGGCAAAGAGCAGCGCGAGCGAAGCCCGCGCAAGAGGGCAGCTCGGGAGACGTCCCAGAGGCAGCGAGCCTGCCTGCAGCCTTGGGTCCTCTCCTGGGGGCAGAGCTCTTCAACATCCACGTGCTGCTCAAACTCAGCGTTTTAGGTTAAAATCCAGTGTGCTTGCTTCCAGAGGGAAGCTCTTCAGGGTAGAATTGCTCAGCTTTCCTCTCTTGGCATCCAAAGCAATGGGCGGATGCAGCACATCCAGCCCCAGGTCTGCAGGGCCCCCGGGGTGCTGAAAGCTGCTCTTGGGAAGAAGCTCCAAGTGTGCTCTGGTTTCTCCCAGAAAGAGAGAAGCCAAACAAGGGGGAACCACCAACACCTTGGGTTTGTCAGGAGTACTTCACAAACGCATCTTGGCCCTCTCTGTTACTTGTTGGGTTTGCTGCTTTAGTATCAGCTCTCAGCTCTAATTAGAGGCCAAAACTGCAGACTGGCAGTAGAGCAGAATATAGTGTACCAGTACTGGCGAATAAAGAGCTTGCACAGAAATGCAGAGGTGTATTGTGGAACAGCGCAGGAAAAAAACTACTCTTCCTGGTCCAGGCTGAAAAGCAGTTTAGAGGGCTCAGAATTCAGGCCTATTTAGTGGGGCTTAGATAAGCAGCCCATGGTTTCGGGATAAGGCAGCACTAAACAAAAACACCCGATGCAATCAGCTTGCAGATAGAAACCTGTGAACGCAGCACCGTTGGTTCAAAATCACCCACCTCTTAAATCTTTCCCCAGTACTTACTCAGCGCGGAGGGCATCGATTACTTCTCTAAGAGGCAATAATTTCCCAGATGCTGGATCTGACCAAAAAACTTTCTAAACATTCTTCCTGCAGGCTCACAACAAGGTGCAAAAAAGCTGGTTGCTTGAACCAAATCAATGAAAGAGCTGGCAGGAAAACACAAGTCTTGGTGTCTCTGTGCTAAAACTCAGCCCTGGTAAGGACACTAACTCCACTAACTTCAACAGAGTGTGTCTAACTGTACTTGGCAGAGTTTGGCTTTAAAATTGCCTGCTTAGCCAATGAAAAGATCACAAAGGTCTCCAACCCTTGAATACACTTCAGCACCCACCACATATCATGTTTTTTCTGCATGGCTTTGTCTAAAGTACCAAGCTGAAATAAACATTGGTTTTGCTCATGAGATAATTTCACATGCTTCTAAAATCCTTCAGTCTAATAAAATTGCAGGAATATGAGAATATGAACATGGTGTTTAGAGCAAGGAGCCCGCTGAGAACCCCTGCAGTTACTACTACAGTGACCAGCAGCTTCGCAAGGAGGAAACATCCTCCCCCGAGTCCCAGCAACAGCCGTGTGAGCCCAGGACATGTAATCTCAGCCCCAGGTGCCTGCTCATTTCAGCACTACTCAGGAAGGCAGGTAATTGTGGCATATTTCCACAGAAGGCTTCAGCAACGGACGGGGGATATTCAATGGAATAATCCAAATGCGAATAGAAAGTTTTATGTGGAAAAAGCAGTATGAATACGGATGAACTAAGCTTTCCTAAGGCAAAATTAAATCTTTAACATGACTCAGATCCATGTTTATTTCAATGATTTTTTTTTTTACTCTGTGAAGGGCTAATCTGTTGGTTCTGCTTTCTCAAGTATGTTTTTTAAAGCAAGCTTTTGCCCCCCCCTTTTTTTTTAAGCTTTTCATGTCACATTATCAGTTACAGCAAATGCTACTAGCTTGCTTGGTGATATGCCCTGCTTTGGAAAGCCTTGATAAAATATAAAATTTGATCCTTCAAGAAAAGATGACTTAGTATTTGAAGAATGGGATTCTTCTAACATGGGGTGTCTGCCAGAGGCAACTTGCTTCCCTTCAGATCTGCAGAAGTGGGTATAAGAGCAGCAATAAGTTAATTCTATCCACTTGCATTTAACGCAAGCACAATAACTTGCCTTTCCAACGTTGCTAGATCTCAGGGCTAATAATAGACAGAGCCTTGATGGTTAAAATTAGTAGATAATAAAGCTTTCCTCCCTACATCCTGAGTTAGGCTTAAAATTATAAGCTTTTACAAAATTTCTTCTGGAATGGAAGTTACATGTGCAAAGTGAAAACGAAGAACCACAAAGAAAATGTGTACATCATAGATCTCCATTATATGAAGGATGAATGCAAAGAATAAGCCATTCTTAGGATGACTACAGGTGGAATGTGTTTTTCTCTAGGATTAGTTATAAATTTCCTGAAAAGAGCTAAATAAATTTCCTGTTTGAAAAATGTAAATGCTCTTTACAGCCCTGCCTCTCTTGGCATATGTATTTCAGCAGGAACCATGTGAGCAAAAGCAGAAATGCTGCAGAGGACACAGCAAGGCAGACCCCTGAGCTAGTAGGGACCCAATGCATGTGGCCACAGAGGAAAAAAATAATAAAATAAAATGCTGCTTTAATTGAATGTCAATAAGATCTAGACTCGAGTGCCAAAGGCAGTCTTGAAATGAAACTTCATCATTCTCAAAATGATATACTAGAGCTTTAATAAAATATCCTAATATAAAATGCCAACTTCTATTTCAAATTTTTCCATTGTTAGAAGCTAGCATTTCCATCCGCGTATCAAATCTTTTTCGATTCATATTCTTTCCCTTTTCTACATGAAATATTAAGAATTTTAAATAATAAAACTCTATGCATCTTTCCTTTAAAAATATATTTAAAATTTACTAGAATTGCTAAAATTGCAAGAGCAATCTTGAGAAATTGATCTTATTATCACATCCATAGGAATGTAGAAAGGAAACAACTCTTGATTGATAAGTGATTTTAGCTTTTCTCAAGTAAAGACTCAGATCCCTGACATACGCCGGCTAAATTACTAAATTAGTGCAATCTGATAAAAAATCATTATCTATTATTCTTAAACTGCAATAAAATCAATGTTCTCATTCTTCAGCAGTTAAAAAGTATCACCTGAGGCTTATTTATGTAAGAAGTGATGTACGGGTCAGCTAAGTGTCTAGCATCTCCTTCGCTCTGGAGCCGATGCCCTTGTTAACCAGGCAGTTGGATGCGGTTCCCGGGTTTTTGATCAGCACTGATCTGTCCTGCACTCCCAGGAGATGAAGTATAAAGCCAAGAGCAGAAAATATTTTTAAGGCGGCAAATATAGGGCTATTAGGACATGGAGGGAACAGATGCACAAAAGCAAATGTGTTTTAATCTTGGCCTTGAACCAAAAGCTTTGTGCTAAAATACAGACCAAAATGGAAATTCCATCTGCTGGTTTGCTCCGTGCTTAGTTGACCCAAAAATGCCACATTATGACTTAAAGCATTAAACATAGCTGGGTATTAAAGAGTGGCATATTTATATTTACTTTCCTGTGAATCCCTAAAATTACAGCTTCTCTGTGTGTCACTGACTGCTGCAGAGACTGCCCTGACGACCTCCTGGGGTGACCAAAGCGCCAACACGTCCGGGCTCGAGGCCGCCTGGTCAGGCCCTGCCCGGACACCAACACGGGGAGCGGGCGCCCTGCAGGGCCTGCAGAGAACGGAGGAGCTCGGGACAGAATGACCCGGGCTCAATGGCCATGGACGCTCAGGAAGCAGGGCCAGCAAACCGAGATTGTATCTCCAAGGGTCCTGCCCCATGAAACACACTCATTTGCCACTCCGGAGTTTCACAGACTTATAATGAATTACAATAGTTGGGTATTTCTTTTTGAGAGAAAAAAAGATTTCTAAGTGGAAAAAAAAAAGTCTTAATCATCACTGACACCAGCAAAACCTGTTTTCCAATATACATTTTGAAAGTTCTTCCTTTTATTCTTAGTATTTTGCATTTTAGCTTCTGTAAGCAGGAAACACCATCCTACATATATTTACCAAAAATAAACTAATTACATGACATATTAATGAGATTTCACACAGAGTATGAGGTTTTTTTGCTGTGCATGTTTTCCACAATGCTATCACTAAAACAGTTTCTACACAATTTTTTTATTATTACCTTCTTGAATTCTCCCGTCCTTTGATATTCACACAGCATCATGTCAAAGAAGATCGGGATCGTGGCTTTTCGTAGCTCACCTTCTGGAATAAGAGTCATTTCCAAGATGGGCCCCACCATTCCCGGAATAAAGCAGATTTTATTATTTCCTAAAACAGAATGGCAAATTTGAAGAAGCAATAAAATAAAAAATAAAATTGTTAGGAAATGATTTAGGAGATAAAACCATTTGAAACAGTACAGTAACCTTCTACACCAGTGACAATGTTAGGGTTGGTCACTTGTCTCCACTCCTTCTCTCATTACAAGATGTTGGAATTTGGTACCAGAAATCAGCATGCCAGCTGATTGAATTGACTTTCAAGGAACATGTCGTTTTTTTCAGCTTTTGGTATTCCTTTACAAGCGTTAACAAGTGGAAAGTAATCAATATATTATTTTTGATTATCTTAATAATAATTAATATTAATCCTCAATTCTATGAGTAGGAGAGAACTATATGATATGTTCCTCTTTCTAGACTGAAGGAGTAAAAAATTCTTACCAGTTCCACACTGACATAACTCTAAGCATAACTAAACTATTATTTCAATAGTTTTTTGCAACATTAGTTTTTCTTCCGCTCCTATTAATTCAATTCTGTATTAATTCTATTGAAATCGCTAACATCAATAGACTGTAAAGAATCTTGTCAGGACTGAATCACATATAAACCCTAGGTAACAGATCTGGGCAACCTCTGGAAACTAGAGAAACTCATATATAATGTGAATTTGCATTTGCCTACATGAATCTTGCTTTAATACATATCCCCCAAATGCAGTTTACACCTGAGACTCCATAGTGCTTTTCAGAATGCAGATTCTCTTCTGTTAAAAATGTAGTAGGAGCTTGAAAAATACAGAAAATAGATGGAAAGGACATTTATTATTAAATGCAGAAATATGAGAACTATGGCATGTTTAGTTTGAAACGTTTCCCAAACTGCAGGATCCTGACTTACCAGAGGGTATGTACATTAAATATTGAGTAAACTAATAATGCATTTGTGGTATTAGAAAATAAACAACGTTTTGGTCTTCAACAAAACTTTAAATTTCAGGTAATTCTTTTATTTTTCACAATATCCAATGAACTTCTGATTATGACTGCTGGTAAAATACACTTAAAAATCTTAGACCTTTTTACTTTAATTAAATAAAATATTGTATCTATTGGAATAGCTTTTTGTTAACTATTTACATAAACACTGATTTGACAAGAAAACAACGCAATTCAATTGAAGTATGTTTAAATTTTGAGTGTGCTAACAACATAGCCACTACTGAAAAAATACTTTGCTACCGAGTAAACTGAGACCATTTCACAATACTTTTACAAGATTAACTTCCGATACACAGCGATTACACAAGCTTCTCCAGATTAAATGACCTTCTAGCTGAGTGGGCACAATGACCAACTCAGAGGAAAAAAAAAATAAAGGTGATTTGCTGATGCTTAGCACTGTTGATCTGGCACACAGGGGCCAGACCAGAACTGCTTTGACTCTGGAGACCTGACAAGCAGTTAGAAAGAAGGCAAAAGCTCATGTTTTTTCACTGTTAATTTTCTGATGATTTTTTTTTTTTTGTAATTAGCTGTATGAAATTTGACATCCAGCTTGTATTTCAAAGAATAATCATAGGTATCATCACAATCATAACACTTCCAAACTCACACCTCACATTTCAGGAAAAAAAGTACATCATTCATAGGATACATTGTTGTTCCATGTATTAGAAACTCCTAAAGAAACAATTGAAAAAAAAGACTGCTTATGAACTACAGAATCATTAATGGTCCCGTTTAAGGATTTAAATCCAAGGAGAATCCAACTCTAAGTTTACTAATTTCTGGAAGTGTGGAAACAGATTGATACTTCTCAGGGAAGATTTCTCTGGTTCTCCATCTCAGCAAGATGATGTTAGTTCAGTCATCTTTGTCTGAAGTCTGAGAGTTCTCTCAGAAATAAAAGACAGGCATTAGCCAAAATGTTTCATGTTGGCTGTGAGCTAAGCAGCAAGAGGAAAAACTCATTTTAAGGTCAAATACTTTATAGAGCAAGTCATGTCAGATTTTTTTTTCCCAGTGAAACTGACATACGCTATGGAGTTGGCTGCAATTAAATTCATGTATTTACTCACCAAGTTTGTACCACATGTCACGAATAGCAAAGCCAATTAAACGTCTCATATCTCCGTATCTAGAAAGAAAGAATAAGGAAAGGATGACACCATTATCGGTGTCATCATTTTATTACAAAGTTAAAAGATATAAGAGATATAAAAGATAAAACGTAAATATGTGTTTTCACTTACTTGTTTAGGATTTTGTTGTATTTTGCATGGGAAAAATTTTCTAGCTGTAGTGAATCTTGAGTAATAAAAGCCACAGCCAAATGAAAATAGTTGTTCCACAGCTGTAAATTGAATATAAGGAAGTTATAATGATTTCGAGCAAAGGAGGAGCAATATTAAACCATGTATAACGGTGAATAATTTATGAAACCAAATGATGCAAGCCAGATGAGATTCTTGCTATTATGCAAAAATATATATATCATTATTATTATGCAATTAGCAGGAAAGCGAGAGATGAATTTTAATAACCACTAGCATGCATTTGCCCTGAATAACACAGCATCTGAATAAATATTGCTAAAAAAAATGTATATGAGATTAATGAATCTAATGAGCAAACAGCATTGGGCCACAAACCATAGCAGGACGAGTGCAATGCAGAACATGGCAGTGAATGTTAACAGTGTGGCACTGGAGGCACCCAATGTAATTACACTGTATTAAGAGCTTCTTCAAAAGGCATCTGCCATCTTCTCTTTGGATTCTACATGAACAGCAGGCTTGGGTGACACCCTAAGGGCTGTCCACAGGAAACAAGGACAAAACAGGGCCTGGAGCAACGAGCACCGAGTCAGGCACTTGAGTGGAGAGCAGCCCCCTTGCATTTATAGAGCACAAACCTTCATTTCTGGACACACATTACTCGTTCTCCAGATAATCCAAACTAAATACCTCTGTCACGTGCTGGAGATGGGAAAGAAAACAGGAATGGCACTAAAATTCACAGAGACCCAAACTTTCACATTTGATTAATGGATGATTATTCAGTAACAGCTGAAGAAAATATTTGCAAAAACTTCAACTTGCATGTCAAGACTTCTACGGGAACAACCTCTGTCCACTGGAGTCTGGAAAACTCCAGCACAGGAATAACCATGAAGATCAGACAGCAACACCCCCAAAACATATCACCAAGGATAAGGCACTTCCTTTACTAAGGGAAGTTCTCAAACACCCTCCTTTGTGTCAAAATGCTCCTGTGTTTATTTATTGCTGCTGTTAGGAGTCCAAGGCATTAGTAAAGCTCTCCCCAGCAGACTTTGGGTACTCAGAAGGCCTTTGGAGCCTGTTTTGGTGTGTAAGCACCCAGAGCGCTCAGCTCTCCCTGGGCAGAGCCACCCAGCAGCACTGCACTGCACACCTACAATAACCCGGTACATTTTACACCATCCAAAGATGGTCTGAATTCATCCAAGCCATTCCCAGCCTTATTAGAAACTTCATTTGAATATCAGCACTACTAAGGCAACAGGTTTTTTTTCCTAACATAAACATCGGAATTATGTTCATATGTAATTTTTTTCCAGTTTCAATTAGTACATACTAGCTCAGGGAGCTTTTTCCCACAAGAAATGCTAATCATGCTCCAAAGGGCCTGTTTTTCCTCCCATCAAAAGTTATAAAAGATTAATTTGACCAATATAGAGGGCTTTCACTTGAAAAGCTCTCTGTCAATATATGTGAAATACACGCTGCATAGGCCAATCACACCAGTAAAATGGAAAACCTCTCCCATCATTCCTGCCTGGAATGCCACATTAACGGACTGAACTCAGCTGCAAGGTGTGCGTGCTGGTTTTGTACGTCTCATACGCTCCTCTAGTTGTAACAACAGCCCTCTACACAAGAGCTAAGTGAACACAAAGCCGGGGGATTTCTGCTTCTACTTTTTTCAGAACACACAAGGTCCCTTCCCATGAGAACACACCACAGCTGACACACGGGAAAGTTTATAAATAATGTATAATAAGGAACTTGTCATCCCGTAAGGAAGAAGGCTCTGGAAGATCACCAGGTGAGCTACCAAATGCAAAGACTCCAGCACAGTCATACAAACCTGCAAAGCCAGTGGCTCTTCTGCACTATTTCTCCTGCCTACCTTGGAGCCATCATGTCCTCAGTGGATGTTTTGGTTCAGCTCTTTCAATTAAATGTAAAAAATGTGAAGGAGATTTTCTTTGGAAGAGTTAAGTGAAAGGAACATTTACAACAAAGGCTCCCTAGCAAATGGCTTAACTAAGTGAAAGGATATATAGACTGACATTTTTGAATACTTGACAAAAATTATGATATTAAAAGTACTCTGACATTTCACAATATCTAAAAGATTAGATAGTATATTTAAAACTTTACTGGGGAATACTATGGAAAAGATGAGCTGAGACACTTGAGAGCCACAGACATAACATATTTCAAAAGGCCACTGGGTTCATTGCTTTGACTTTGTAGAAAAATGGCACTTATTCTCCACGTGTGCGTAAGTGCAAAGCACCCTGAGATGCCAAGGGGTTGAGTTAGGCATGTAGCATTTTATCATGTGATAGTTTTATCTCAGTCAAGTTTTCTCTCTCATATACTGAAACATAATTTGTCCACCAATTAAAATGATATAACTCACAACAAGTAACTGTTTTGACTATGTTGAGCTAGTCGTTCAAATATATGTAAGTTGAGACAATACTAACTTGTTTTTTAAATAGCTCAAAAGATGCTTCTGGATTGATCACAAATACTGAAATTCAGCCATCACCTCTCAGATGCTGCTGTCAAGATATATACAGATGTCTGATCTTTGATCAGACACACTGCACAAAGATGATGAAGAAATCAATATACTGATTGGTTTGGGGGAGATGTTAATGTATTTTCAGTAATCTTTATGGAAAGCAAGTGTAATCACAACAACATGCAGAGCTTCACTATACAGCCTTAAAAGTCTCGACTTCAGCACTCCCGGCTTTCAGCTGTAAGTTAAAAGTCTAAATAATTTATCAACTGATACATATCAAAACATAAATGCAAGCATTTAAGTAAAATACCTGCAAAAAAAACCCATCTACTCCAGACTTTTGAAAACATTACAGAAAAAGATATATATGAAAAGGTATATGAAAAGGTGTATATGAAGGGCATATAATAATAAGAAACTGCATAAATAGTATAGGTCAAAGTGGCCTTCAGAAGAATCTCCTACAATAACTAGTCCATGAAAATTTTATAGCTCTCTTTTCTAATAGTTTATTAGTCAGTCTTACTGAAAATAATTATCCAAGTGACAATTAATATAAAATGGAGTGAAAATAATTTCTTAAATAATGTACTTCAATCTCTTAGAACCATACCACATATCTACACACACTACTGTTTTCCTCCTTATTCAATATTATGCATGTTATTGAAAATACATCTCTCTTACATCTCTCTATTGCAATACACCCCAAACCCCTGAAAGAACTCCTGAAAGGAACTCCAAAATCCCGTAAAAATAAGCTTCACATATGCCAAATTTTCCAGAACATATATTCCATGAATTCCCTTTCATCCTGAATGAGTCCAATGTCCAAAGCAATCTGCAGATAGCTCACTACAGCTCGCTATAGGAAGACCCAGCAACACACTGGTGTAACTATCAGAGGAACTTAAATGCTGAAACATGACAATTTTCAAATGTACAACAGGAATACTGTGTACTAGAATACAATATTCCAGTATAAAAATAAAATAAAAAAACTCAAAAAGAGTTACTATAACTAATACAGTGAGCTAAATTTTCTAATGGGTGTTTGCTACAATGAAGTATGCATTACATATGGACTTCTACATCAGTCACCTCTTCAGGATTTTTCTAATGTCCATGACTACCATATATACATTTGTTTACTAAAAGCAGTATTTTCCCCTCTATATTTGTAATGCAGAGAAGCAAAACGAAAACATTTTGGCAATTCTATCTAAAGATTTAAAGACATAAGCTGCGCAGTGGCGACAATGATGCTAACACACAAGTTCCAATCATGTCAATTTACTAACCATGGTGCCCAGTATATGCAAGAGAGATGGGTAAAAGGATGGAAAATAAGCATATGCTTTCAAATGAGACACTGGCATTATATGGAATGGGGACGATGCCTTCTGTGGCAGGGCTCTATTTGATGCATATGAAATTATAATTGTTATAAGAGTACAGATTTAGAAATATAATCCTTTTTAAAATTCTGTAAAATACTGCTAATGGAGATGAAGGGAAGCAGGGACCAGGAATCAGTATCACTATATTCTGCAAAACAGAAGCTCTTTGATAGCAATACCCAAGAGGACCAAAACAAAATGGGTTCTGTTACCTCAATTTTCACTGTCCTAGTATATGCAAAGCTGTCATCCCCCATTGGAAACATTACTAAAGAAAAGTTGCACAAAAACAGTAATTTCAAGGAATTAAGTGGCATTAAGGGTGGCGATGGCTGCTGCCTATATTAGAGTGCTGCTGTATTTGGTTACTGAATGGAAATACTTGCTACCCTCCCAAAAGCAGAGGTGACGGAGCCCTGAGGTGACACTGAAGTCACAGCAGAGCACAGGAATGCTCTGTTTCTCTGTTTCTTCTTTCTCAAGGTAACTTCTAGCTAGGGACAGCAGCTACCAACAGGAGAAGGTTGTTTAGATAAGGTCTGAACAGCTACAGTTCTCCTAAGGGACATACGCGCACAGGCAAATGTAACTGAAGCCATAAGATGAAGCATAAGTATTAAATACTGTTACTTTCATTTTTCTGTTTCTGAAAGAGCAACTGGAGAAAATGAACAGAAAACTGAACTCAGGATAGCAATATATGATTTACAATCTGATTTTGCATTCCTTTATTAGTTTTATATAACAAACCTACCTCATTTGTAATATAATTTCAAACAAATCCACAACCACTGGTTTTGAACTGAATAATATTATCTCCTACAGTACATTACCTAATACACAGTCTAAAATGAGTATGTGCACTGACCACACAATCCTCTAGCACATGGAAATACTCATTTCAAAACAACAACTAGGGGAAAAATAAGATGCTGAACCTAATTTAATTTATGATTCAGCCTATGTGACACACAATCCCTGCTGCAGGATCAAGCATGCCTGATCCATGCAGCTTTCTTCTTGGGGGCAGCAGCTTTAACAGATATGTAAAAGACAAGGTAGGTCCTGCACGGCCAAACAACACACTCACAGTCACATAAAAACACCCAAGTGAATCCTTCATCCTCTCAGACCTGGTCTGCTTTCCTGACTGTATCTGTTCTTTACAAAGGAAATAAATATCTGCTAAAAATCTTTTTTATTGTTACTTCTTTAAAAATATTTGATCTCATGGATGATTTGCCATTCAGTCTCAAAAAAATTATTCAGCATCTTTTAATATCATGTTTTTTCTTTCCAAATTTGATGGATGTCACAAAACCTATCCATATATTTTAAAGATTTAAACCTACTTATTCATGTGTTTAAAACAGTGTTGTGACAACTGCATTTAAGAAAATACACAGTATCAACAGCAAATGTAACAAGACAAGGAAAAAGCCTAACCTCAGGCCTGCCTTTCTGTATAATTTCATGTATTTTCCTTATATAATTTCAATGTATCTCCTCATTCTGCATAAAATTCCTTCAACTGGTATACTTGCATAGTTGCAAGCTTTTCAAGGCAGGATTTAATCTTCAATGAACCTGTTATCACAGTAAAGATAGAACACGCACCTGGGAGGAAACGTGAGGAGTTACCTGATGCAGCTCCACGGCCCCAGCACAGGATCAGCTAAACCACCCCTGACAGAGGTCTGTTGAACCGGCTCCCGAGAGCCTTTCTACATAACCCATTTCAATACACAACTACCTTGATGACTTCCCTAAATCACAGCTTTTAACATATTTCAAATACATAGGCGTGACGTGGATATAAACTGTTGAATAGTGAAGGTTTTTACCTACTCCTGTGATTCCTATCAAAAATCCAGATTTCTGCCTAACGAAACTTAATCCTCCAGTTCAATTGCAGCACCGAGTAATGAACATTAATGTATACACATATATGTGTATACGCATACATATAAACACATTGATGTATAATCATACAATTTCCCCCATAGAATTTGCCTGGGACTTCTTTTTTTTTTTTCTTCTCCGAAGGAAGCCATTTGTTTCACAGAAACTCTATATACAATGATCCACTTCAGTTTTTAAATCTGTAGTAGTCACTTATGTAACACAAACACACTGCATCTTTCAAATACAAATGCAGATGCACAGACCCTATTACTTATTCATACCAAGAGAAACAGCTGGACATTATTTATAAAACACATCTCAGAAAAGCCATTTAGAACATCTGTCATCTTCAGGAACAGAGAAAACTTGTTTAGAAACCAGATTTAATTCTGTCCTCCGAGAAAAAGCCCAACAAAAACAGCCAGGGTTAACGTGCCCTCCAGGGTACCCCACCACTTCTATGCAGGTTTTTGGAAGCATATCCTGTATTAACCTTCTCACCACGTGCCCTCCTGGTGCCATGAGACCTGTTGGTGTGAATGGTGGCTCCGTGCCTGCCACATGGCAGTGGGACCTGCCCTAAACATGCTCAGGGCAGGAGCCCAGGACAGGCTGCCCTGTCTAAATTTGGAAAGCTGCACTTTTCAAAGATACAAAATAAGTCATGAAACTCGACCACAAAGTTAAAAAGCACTCCATTGAACTCTTGCAGGCCATCGTAACCAAGTTTTCTCACTATTAAATTTCAATCCTTGGCTGTGTAACACATTACACTACTCTGTAGCTATCTGTGATCGAGGTCCTAATGCCAGCAACATCCAAACAGTTCTCAGCACAGTAAGCCTAAGCAAACACTCACATGTCATGGAATACAATCATGTAAAAAAGGATTGAAGATTAATCTTGTAAAACACAGGACTTGCCTTAAAACATACTACCCAAGAAACCAAGGAAGCATGGGCCTGAAACTCCCCTGGAAATTTGTATTTAGCACGATTATGTTATTAGCTACTGAATAGGTTAGATCTTTGCAATCAGAGAGCATTTTCAAACTTACAAGGGAATTACTTTGAATTATGATTAACATAGAATGAAATGGAACCACTCTTCATAATACACACTATTAAGAATGCTCTCTATTTACAGCACAAACCACAACCAGGCAGCATGTGATTTCACTTCATATCAAAAATGACCTGACCTTGAAAACTCATATCAACAGTCACATGCTAACTCTGCTCAGCAAAAAGGCCTGAATACTTACTTGGACTTCAAAATTCATATTCTCCAGAAACTTCTGGTTCATTGTCTCTGCAAATTTGTTGATGGCTCTCAAAAACACCCTAAAAGACAAAAGCAATGATACAACTTGATGTGCGTAATCCTTGGGATTCTATTTCTACCATGTGCGCTATTATTGGAAACACACTTAAATACTACAAACACTGTAAGCAGCAACAGTTCATGCAGTCATACATACATAAGATGCAATAGCATCTTACATATACCATGTTATCCATCACAAAAATACTAAGTATATGAGAGTCAAAAAATTTGTTTTTTCATGGAAAAATTCAGACAGTATTTGGATAAAACAAACATACATGTAATGTTTGTTTCAAATGTATGTTTCAAAAACTATTTTACCTTCCATATCAGAAACAGGGCTTGTTAACAATAATGTTATTGCCTCCTCTGCATGAGTTTGAGAGACAGAAAAGCTCCTGTACT